AATAGAACTACCATATGATCCAGTGACCTCATTACTGAGGATATATCAGAAAAATGAAATCAGTTTGTTATAGAGACACCCACACTCCCGTGTTCATTGCAACACTATTCACAATAGCCAGGACATGGAAATAACCTGTGTGTCCATCAACTGATGAATGGAGATAGATAGATATATACAATGGAATATTAATGGAATTATTCAGCCATAAAATGGAACACTATTTAGCCATAAAAAGCATGAAAATGTTTAGGCTGTCACGTGCAGCAATGTGAATGGAACTGATTGTGTAAAGTGAAAGGCAAGTACTGGGTGTTCTCTTCTATATGTAAGCTAGATAGTAGACCTTGAGCAGAGAACAGAATGGGGGAGCAGGAGGATGGCAAGAAGATGATTAATGGGTACAGGGATGTCACTGGATAGAGAAATAACTTCTACTGTTCTGTTCCACTGGAGAATAACTATGGTTGGCAACAATTATTGAGTATTCCAAAGTAGTCAGTAGAGAAAAATTTAAATATTCCTAACACAGAAAAAGGGTGTGTAGGGCCAGGAATTTAGCTCAGTGGTTCCACTGCCTGCCTTGCAAGCGCAAGGACCCAGGTTTGATCCCTGGTACCAAAAAAAAAAGGGGGTGATGAGGTGACAGATATGCCCGTGACTCTCAACTGATCATCAAGCACTGTATGCACGTATCAGAGTGTAACACCATGCCCCAGAAATATGTGCAATTACTGTGTGCTGATTAGAATAAAAATGTGTTTTTGAAAACTTAAGAAGTTGATTTCATAGAAGTAGAGAGCAGAATGGTGGTGAGCAGGGCCAGGAAGGGAGGAGATGAGAGAGGAGAGAGGTTCTGCAGCATGGCAAATTGACCACAGCTCATAAGGCTCTGTTACAGCATTTAGAAAAACCGAGGAGAGAGGAGTTCAAAGGTTCCAGGCAGGAAGAAATATAACAAATCCTAAAATGGCTCTTAAATATCTAAAAAACAGGCAAGGAGATAGGAATGCTGATTACCTTGATTTGATCATTACATATTGTATACATGCATCAAGTTATTACCCTGCACCTCATGCATATGTACTATCTGCAAAATAAAATACAATTATACAATAAAAATTTTTTAAACTTCTTTAGCTAAAACACATACACAGTGTCATATGTTGTTACTCTTCTTGGAAAAAATACTTCGTTTGATGTAAGATACAAATATATAGAATTCATCATGATGAATGAATAAGTTAATGTTTGCCATAGCAAACAAAAGTGCTATTCAAGCTCAGTAAATGAAAAGTGGGAGAAATGTCCCCATTGTGGGTACAAACCGAGTACAGAGAAGCATCATTTGGAACACAATTCCTTAAGTGCAATCATAGTAGCTTGAGAATGAACTATTTGATGGTTTTCACAGCTTCATGCAGATATATTTTATTACATTTTAACTTCAGGTCTGGACAGAAATTTTAGAAATGTAACACTCACAAGAATTTAGTAATGAATCTTTACTTTTTTAATTAACATTTTTGCTGATTTAAAAGCAACTGCTAAATAGCCAAAAACATATGCCTTCATTCTTGTCGAAAATGGTTTATTTATATATTTTAATTGACCAAAACTGTACATATTTATGTTGTACAACATGATGTTTTGAAATTTGTCTGCATTGTCAAATACCTGAATTAAGCTAATTAATTTATGCATTGTCTCATATAATTATTTGTGTTGGCAACACTTGAAGTCTACTCTCTTAGCAATTTCACTGTGGTCACCATGTTGTACAGGGAATCTCTGAAATGGAAATTTTGTATCTTTTGACCACTATCATGTTTTGACTACCTCCCTGGCCTCTGTTATCTACAATTCTACTCTGTTTTATCATTTCAATTTTTTTAGATTGCACAGATTAAACCCTAATTTGTTCAGCCGTAAGATTCTGAAAAAAATGAGAGCTATTTAATGAAAATCTTATAATGATTAAAAATATAATTTGTGTGAAAATGACCTTTAAATATGCTTAGAATGTACATAATTAGAGAAATACTAACAAAGCAACAGAGATGCTACTCCTTACCTTTCAGATAGGTGATATTTTCAAAAGTGTAACAACCAAATCTGTTGATGAGTCTTTGAGAAACAGGTGCTCTTACTGTTACTGAGAAAGCAAACCAGTACAACTTTTCCAGGGGGCTTTTGCCAATGCCTAACATAACCTTTCAACCCAGAAATCTGAATCTTAAAACAAACTATCCTTGAAAATGAACTTCCAACAACCAAAAAACACATATGTACAAAGATGTTCACTGCAGAATTGTTTGTAATTATAAAATATCAGAGCCAGACATGGTGGCACAGGCCTGTAATTGCAGGACTCTGGAATTCTGGAACAGGAGGATTGTAAATTTGAGCCCACTCTGGGAAAATTAGCAATTTACAGAGACCCTATCTCCAAATAAAAAGCGGGAAGACCCTGGGTTTAATCCCCAGCATCACAAAACAAAAACAACAGCCAGGTATTTAGCTCAGTGGTGCCATGCCTGCCTGGAAAGCACTAGGTCCTGAGTTCAATCCCTAGTACTGGGAAAAGAAACAACAACAACAAATTCAGAAACAATCCACATGCCCATACATAGAAGAATGATTAAATAAATAATACAACACCGGCCCAATGTAGTCTTATGTGGCCGCAATGAAGAATAAGGAAGATCTCTATGAAGTGATGTGGAATGATTTTTGTGATATACGACACAAGTGACCAAAATCAAAGTGCAGGTTGAAAGCTGGGTACAGTGGTGCATGTCTGCAATTCCAGCACTTGGAAGGCTGAGGCAGGAGGATCACCATGAGTTCAAGGTCAGCCTGAACTACATAGCAAGACCCTGTCTTGAAAACAGCAACAACTGCAGGGTGCTACTTACAGAATGGAAGAGCAAGGAATTACAAAAAGGTGCTTCTTCAAAAAGGCAATGAAAACACTACAAAGACTGACACACATACACATTCTTCAGAACTGGGAAATTAACCTAAGGCTTGCAAAACTCCAAGGAGAGTTCTCTGAAGAAAAATTACTACATCTTGGTAAGGAGAGTGAGCTCAGTGGTGCTTTAACTTGCCTTACTCCCATCCCCCTCTGCTAGCTCCAGAGTTGCTTTGAAACCCAGCAGCCTCAGAAGCACATTCCTTGTGAAGATTAGCATCATAGAAGCCCTTGCACAGGACATCACAGAGTCCGGATAACCAACCGCCCCATCCCAGGACAGTGGAGCCATGGGAAGAGTCTGGACACTTGCTGACATGGTCCCATCCCAGAGGTTATCATTATTGGAGCTGACTCAGAGCTTGAACTGTGTTGATAAGGTCACATTGAGGCCATTTATCAAAAACAGTCACTGGCAAACTGTCAAATTTTAGGACTTCCCAGAGTCTACATTACCAGTTGGTATTAACAAGAAGCTGACCAAAACAACTTCAAAGGCAAAACTGGAAAATGAGAAGGCCACAGAAGATATTAAAGAGTTTCAACATATTCCTGGAAATCTAGAAGACCACAAAAATGCACAAAACTCTGTGCATGGATGTGGTTGTGCGTCAGAGGACTGATATCATCAGCAGCATTATTTACTATAAACCTACAGTGATCAAGATAGTGTGGGCTGAAGCAGGAGGATCACACGTTGCAGTTAGACTTCACAAGATCCTGTCTCAAAATATAAAAGAAAAAGACGGCTGGGGATGTAGCTCACTAGAAAGGCCTTAGGTTCATTCCTCAATAGCCCCTTCCCCCCAAAAAAGAAAAGGTAGTGTAGTGTAGTATTACTGGAAGAATAGATAATGTATATTAACAGAAAAAAATAGAGAACATAGAAACAATTCTACACAAATATAGTCAACTTATATTTAACAAGTGAGCAAATGTAATTCAGTGAGAAACATCTGTACATCAATAGTCAAAAAAGTCTTTCCCCAGATTCCCATAAGAATCTAGATACAGAACTGAGAGACACTTTTCTAAAAAATTACATACATATAATCAGAATAATTTATAAAGTCAAATGTAAAATGCAGGATTATTAATGTCCTAGAAGATAACACAGGAAAAACCCTTTGGATTTGGCAATCACTGAGGAACAACAAAAAAGGACAATCTATGAAAAATTGATCAATTTGGCTTAATTAAAATTCAAGAATTGGGAAGTAGGAAGAACACGCACACAAAAACTCAAGGACATGGGCTGGGGATTTAGCTCAGTGGTTCCAGCGCCTGCCTCACAAGCGCAAGGTCCCAAGTTCGATCCCTGGTACCAAAAAAAAAAAAAAAAACTCAAGAACATCTTACTAAATGGGGGAAAATAGAAAGCATTTCTTCCTCAGACAAAGGTCTATTATCTAAAATATATAAAGAACTCAAAAAAATCAGACCTACCAAATATAAAGACCTAATCCAAAAATGGACATCTGAAATGAACAGACATTTCTCAGACAAACAAGTAAAAGCAGCAAATAAATATATGAAAAAAATATTTCACATCACTGGTCATTCAAGAGATGCAGATGAGGCAGAGGAGGAGGCTTCCAGGCCACAACAGCACTGCTCCCAGCACAGAGGAGGTGAGCCACATGAGTGCCAGCAGCACACATGCCCCCCCTGCCGTCGAAATGAGAAGACACATAAACAAGCCTCAAAACCAGACTTCCAGATCACCTACAACAACGACAAAGGGAAAAGAGATGGAACACTCTGATACTCATCCACCTGAACTCCCTGAACTGGGTTCAAAAGGGGACCTGGAAAAATGAAATCAAATAATTTCTCAGATAACAGCAGAGATTGTGCCCATAGTGCAAGACATGATTAATAAGTCTAGAGAGGGGAAGTCTGGCGAAGAAGTTGAGTAGAGAAGAGGAAGAAATTACTTGGGGGCAGAAGTTGTAAGACTTGGAGGGGAGAACTCAGGACTTTTCCCATTATCCTATTGTGTCCAGGGGAGAAATCCTGAACCATGACTCAGCAGCTACTTCGAGGGGTCACCAGCCTGCGTTTCAACCAAGACCAAAGTTGCTTTTGCTATGCCACAGAGACAGGTGTGCACATCTACAATGTGGACCCACTGATGAAGAAGGGGCATCTGGACCATGAGCAGGTGGGCAGCCTGGGCCTGATAGAGATGCTGCACTGCTCCAACCTGCTGGCCCTGGTGGGCGGTGGTAGCAGTCCCAAGTTCTCCGAGATCTCAGTGCTGATCTGGGATGATGCCCTGGAAGGCAAGGACTCCAAGGACAAGCTGGTGCTGGAATTCACTTTCACCAAACCAGTGCTGGCTGTGCGCATGTGCCACGACAAGATCGTGATCGTGCTGAAGAACTGCATCTTTGTGTACTCCTTCCCCAACAATCCCCAAAAGTTGTTTGAGTTTGACACTCGGGACAACCCCGGGGGGCTCTGTGATCTCTGTCCCAGCCTGGAGAAGCAACTGCTTGTGTTTCCAGAACACAAGTGTGGAAGTCTGCAACTTGTGGACCTGGCGAGCACAAAGCCTGGCACCTCATCTGCTCCATTCATTATCAGTGCACATCAGAGTGATGTAGCCTGTGTGTCCCTGAACCAGCCAGGCACCGTAGTGGCCTCGGCTTCCCAGAAGGGAACCCTCATTCGCCTTTTTGACACCCAGTCCAAGGAGAAGCTAGTAGAGCTGCGCCGAGGCACTGACCCTGCCACTCTATACTGCATTAACTTCAGCCATGATTCCTCCTTCCTCTGTTCTTCCAGTGATAAGGGCACTGTGCATATCTTCGCTCTCAAGGATACCCACCTCAACCACTGCTCTGTGCTGGCTCGCATGGGCAAGGTGGGGCCTTTGATTGGGCAGTACGTGGACTCTCAGTGGAGCCTGGCAAGCTTCACTGTGCCTGCTGAGTCGGCTTACATCTGCACCTTCGGTCGCAATACTTTCAAGAACGTCAACTCTGTAATTGCCATCTGCGTAGATGGAACCTTCCACAAATATGTCTTCACTCCCAATGGGAACTGAAACAGAGAGGCTTTCGACGTGTACCTTGACATCTGTGATGATGATGACTTTTAAGGACCCCAGGGCCTGTGCTAGGAACCTACAGTAAGAGATTGCAGAGTTGAGCCTTGGGTGTGGGGAAGTGATGTGGAAGCCACCAGCCAGCAAGCACTAAAGAGGCTTGTGTCCACTTTCCACTCAGCAATTTGTCTAAACCAACAGCTCACTTCCCTCAAGCACTTTTTGATGACTGTATGCTGGAAGAGCTAGGCCACGGATCCAGGGAGGTAGATCCCTGGGACCCCTATCCTGGAGAAGATAACCAGGGACCTGGAGGAAGTATCCTAACCCTACCTTGAAATTTTAAAATGCTTAACAGGAGAGATGATTTCTGATGTGATGAATATGAATAAAATGCCCCTACTGGCAAAAAAAGAAAGAAAGAAAGGGAATAACGGTGTATTATCTTGAAACTACCTTAGCTTCGCTGTTGGAGAGATAAGGGTGATGGATGTTGCTTCGCCCTGAATGATAAAATTGACCTAGTTTTAAGCTTACAGATCGAACCAGCAGGTTTATCAACTACTCCCTAAAATAAATATTTATGAGTATATAACAAGCAAATGTAACTGATCTCATCCAAAACTGTGAACAATTCCATTATAAGTTGTAATAGTCAAAGAAGATTAAGTCTTTCTTTCTTTTTTT